TTTTAAATTAAAAATTTATTATATTAATTAAATTTTTTTAATGTAGAAAAACCAAAGAATGATTTTTTTATTTATCAATATAAAAAAAAGTTTTAAAAAACTAATTGATTTTAACTTAATTTAAAATTTTTTTCTTGTTATTGTTAATTAAAATTTTGATTTTTTCAAAATTCTTTTATAAANGTAGAAAATTTATAAAAAATTAACAAATTTAATTTTCAAAATTCTGAGCTATACATTAATAGAAGAATTAAATAAGATTCTAACATAAAAACTGCTTGTTTCTATCCACTTACATTTTTGGGAATTTTCGGAAATGATTTTCTCATAGAAAAAGTATTACATTTTTAACACCATTTATTGGAGATTAAATGCATAACTAAAGAGGTTACTATCAGCCATAATGTAGATTTAATGGTGTCTTTGATCTTAACAGAATTAGCAGGAAAACCTTATAAAAACTGACTACAATAATAAAAAAAAAACCTATTAAAAAATGTTGCAGTTAATATGTTTAAAACAATTTCTTAATTTTCAATTATATTATTCTTGTTGGATCAAAGAAAATTGTATTGTAAGACAATTATGCTCTGAATTAAGAGATCACTTTTCATAACAGAATAAATTTTTCATTATTTTTGAGAAATGAAAATCTAGAAATATTTTTATATAATCTATCAAAGTTTTTAATTTTAATATTTTGAATTTTTTATAAAGATTTATTAGCTTACTTTGAATCACTTAGAATATTTATAGGTATTTCATCTTGACTTTCCCATATATCAGTTGCCTCAAAAACTTCACAAAAGGCATTTTTGTCAGATGAAAATTCCTGGAGAAATTTAAACAGTTCTTTTTAATAAGTAACAAACTAAATAATTAGATAAACTATAATTTATTATGATTTGAAATCCTTTAATTATTTAATTAATTAATTAATTAATAATATTCCAAATTTAATGTTAAATAATCTATCAAAAATTAAAAAAAGGAATTAAATTAGAATTTTAATTAAGAGAAATTTAAAATAATAATAATAATATTAAAAATGTCTTGATTTTTTTTTCTAATTTGTATCATTATATTTATAAATAATATAAAGTGTAAAAGTACAAAAGTGAAATGAAAAATGAAATTGTTGCGAACAAGTAACTGATATAAAGACGTAATTAAAAATATTGGCAATAAATTAAATCTCAGGAGAATTAATTAAAAGACAACTAATATAAAAGTAATTGGTTCTACCTCATAAGGCAATTATTGAGGTCTATAGGAAATTTAGAAAATATTAATCAATGATGATAAATGAAGCAGATGAGATTTTGACAAAATAATAATTGCTACACAAAGGTCTCTTAAAAGTCATACGTCTGACACAAGTTCACTTTTGCGACATTGCTAATGAAATGACATTAAGAGGATGACAGTTATTGCCTCAATAAATTTACAGCAAATTGCTAGGATTATTTACAAGTTGAAGAAAATTAAGACAAATCACTGAAGTTAGTTTGGCAGGAGAGAGAGAACCTCTTGTACAAAGTTACCTATCTCTTTTCAAGGCTGTAACATCTTTGAAAGCTTTCTTTAAACGTTACTTCGCTTCTCTTATCTTACATCTAAACTCATAATTAATGCATTCTTAGCTATTGTTAATACTGTGAAAACATCCTTACAATATTGTCTTTATTATATACTAGTGAAAATTATGTGAAAATATGTTATAAAATGTTTTTAAATTTTCTCTTTAAAAACTATTAATATGAAAATGTGTTTGCTAATGTAAGTAATTGACGATTATAGATAACTAGGTAGCCTGACAATTCAACTAATGTTAATTAACTTGCTTTAAAATTAAATTTTTAAAAAGCATGCAAATTTATAAAATAAAATGTAATGAAATTACTAAAAAAATTTCTAATTACATTGCAAAAGAAAAAAAACAGTTGCAATTAATTTAAAAAATATTGTAATTAAGGATTCAAAAAATGCAGGCAAAATTAAATAAATAAATAAATATTAAAAATAATTATAAAAACTAAAACTAAATTAATACTNTTATGATTTGAAATCCTTTAATTATTTAATTAATTAATTAATTAATAATATTCCAAATTTAATGTTAAATAATCTATCAAAAATTAAAAAAAGGAATTAAATTAGAATTTTAATTAAGAGAAATTTAAAATAATAATAATAATATTAAAAATGTCTTGATTTTTTTTTCTAATTTGTATCATTATATTTATAAATAATATAAAGTGTAAAAGTACAAAAGTGAAATGAAAAATGAAATTGTTGCGAACAAGTAACTGATATAAAGACGTAATTAAAAATATTGGCAATAAATTAAATCTCAGGAGAATTAATTAAAAGACAACTAATATAAAAGTAATTGGTTCTACCTCATAAGGCAATTATTGAGGTCTATAGGAAATTTAGAAAATATTAATCAATGATGATAAATGAAGCAGATGAGATTTTGACAAAATAATAATTGCTACACAAAGGTCTCTTAAAAGTCATACGTCTGACACAAGTTCACTTTTGCGACATTGCTAATGAAATGACATTAAGAGGATGACAGTTATTGCCTCAATAAATTTACAGCAAATTGCTAGGATTATTTACAAGTTGAAGAAAATTAAGACAAATCACTGAAGTTAGTTTGGCAGGAGAGAGAGAACCTCTTGTACAAAGTTACCTATCTCTTTTCAAGGCTGTAACATCTTTGAAAGCTTTCTTTAAACGTTACTTCGCTTCTCTTATCTTACATCTAAACTCATAATTAATGCATTCTTAGCTATTGTTAATACTATGAAAACATCCTTACAATATTGTCTTTATTATATACTAGTGAAAATTATGTGAAAATATGTTATAAAATCTTTATATCTTAAAGTATTAAAAAGTCATATTTTTCAAGGTTTTTAGAAAGAATAATTAAGAAAAATAAATTATTTTTTTATATACTTTTAGATTTGTATTTTGTAATTTTTTTTAATTTTTGTATTTTAATTTTTGTATTTTGCATTTAGATTGATTTGATTTTTGTTATATTTTTACAAGCTTAAATATATAATAATAGTTCAATTTTTTAAATTATTTTTATTGTACTTTATTTCTTTTACTTTTTTTCTTAAGAGATAAACTGCAGGTTAATAAAAACGTTCGACTTCAAACGTCAAGAAAATGATTGCTGTCCTTTGAAGATTGTATATCATTGTGGATACAAGGATAGCTTGAAAGGTTTGAACAGAGATTAGAACTTATCCTCGTAATAGAAAAGCAATAAGTGTCGCTTTATGGTTAATACTTTTGAAGACAAGAAATAAAATCATAAATACTTCAATACCATAATAAAATATCAATTTTTTTCTCTCTTATTTTTGGATTAAAAGTTTTTTCCTCCCCCTTCCATTTCTGTATCATAGAACGTTTGATTTATTGGTAATTTAATGTAGAAAATTTATAATTCTCGCAGTTGTAGTACTTAAAATTTTATCTAAATTAATTTATTAGATACATAAAATGATTGATTTTTTAATAAATTGTTTATGAATTAATTTAAACATTATAAATTATTTAATTTATTGGAAATTCTTGGAGCCATGGTGAGAATGCGTATAGTAGACATTTCGATTCGTTGTTTCAATTAAAATATTTAATATCGAATAGCACTTTTTTTTTTTAAATAAAATTTCACATTTTATTAGTCAAAAATTTCACATTTTTCTTAATGTAGAGCAATGAAAGAGACGTCATTTTGAAACAAAAGGGTGCCTCCTTTGTTTGTTACTTTATATTATCGAAAATTTAATAAAAATAATAAGAAAGTTTAGTAGTTCGATGAAGTTGTAATTCAAGATCCGTTCATATTGAATGCGAAATACAAGCGAATAAGAAAAGAGATGAGAAAATTGCATCATCAATGACGTGTATCAGTTACATTCGAATATTATCGGTTATAACGTCATTATCGACGTAATTTTCTCATCACTTTTCTTATTGGCTTTCAAATTTTGTTTACTTTTCAAAACATAAATTTCTAAACATACAAATAAAGATTCGTGTAAAGTATGAATTAGAATAAATTAAATATTTGATAAAATGATAATTAATTTAAAAATTATAGTAGTACTATTCACAGAGGAAATATATGAAGATAATTCAAATAATGGCCCCAATAATTTTGCATTTTTGGACTTAGGGGACCTTGAAATGTCTAGAAATGCAAAAGAAAAAAAAATTATGGAATTGTTTCTATGTATGGAAGTTAAGTGTTGTGTTTGTGGAGGGCATTATTTTTTCACCCACTTTCATGCTTAATAACTCCTGTGCCTATTGTTGAAAATTTCTGAAATTATACAGGGAATGTATTAGAAAATTGATACTATTAAATTTTGGTGATTAATGGTCGAGGGGATGGGAAAGTGGAGAGGGAGTCACTTGTCATATCTCGAGTGGGATCAGACTTAATGAAGATTTTACTCATTATTAGCATTTGTAATTTTTAAAATAAAACTTATCACTACTCTCAAAATCAAGCTTTTTGTCAATTTATAATAATTAATAATATAAAAAGTTTTTTAATAAAATCTCATAACAGATGACGCGCCTCACAATTTTAAAGTTTGGCCGGGAAAGTCACGCAACTTTAGATTTTTTTAAATATTTATTTGAAATTAAAACAAATATATATTAGGCCTATATAAATTCAATAGGTTTTTATACAGGTTGACAACTTTCATTTAATTAAAATGATTTAAAAATTCTAAAGAATTAATTATTACAAAAGGAAAAACAAATACAGTATTTATTTAAAATAAAAATTTATTTTCCTTTATTTTAAAAACTATTTACATTAGATAAAAGCCATTGCAATTTTAATTAAATCGTATCATTTTACAATAAAAGAAAATCTGAAGCAAAGCAAATATACAATTAATCAATTAAATTATATATATATGTATATTAATGATTAAAAAATTAAAAAAATAAAAGCATAAATATCAAAGAACCCAGTAGAGATGGAAAATATCTGTACAGAATTCTCATAAATCGAAAAAAAAATCCTGTGGATACAGTCCATAATATCTTTCATCACCAGTCGAAACTAGGAGCATACACCTGAAAAAAGTGAATCAATACCACATTGAGAATCAGTCAGCAAACATGGCAGAATAAATAATGAAGCTTTAATATGTACCTTGTGGGGATAAAGTTTATGGACATAAGTATTACGCGGTGGTGGAGTGCTTTCGATAGTTCGATCGTTCAAAGGTTGAATTGGACGAGCGTTGTTACTAATGAATGTTTCAACACTGGCTCCTTCTTCGCTACTTCTTAATTGGCGCAATCTTTCCATCTACAAAGTAAAATAAAATGTTGAAGATGAATTCTGTAAACATTTCTTTCATCAAAATACATTTATAATTATGTATACCTGGCCTTGGCTCACGCTGTTAGCATGATGGAATACGATCCAAGTCCATCCTTCGTAACATGGAGGAGCGAATGCAGAACCTGTATAACGCACGAAAGAGTTGGTATCGTAAGGGAGGAGGCCTCTAAGACGAAGTGGTGTTGAGATTATATTAGTTGATGGATAAGTGATGCTTTCTACACTATCGAAGATTGGGTTCAGGTAATCGTTATCGAAAGGTTTGATCTAGAAAAAAAAGAGGGGTTTCAACAACTCAGTGTGTTTCTTTTATGCTTGGATTTAATTTTGAAAGAAAAATCGTACTTTTAAGAGGACACTTAGAGCTAAGACGGCACCAGGACGATCGACAACAGTCGTATATTCACTCTTCAAGAATAATAAAATTGCCTGAAATGAAATATATTGAATTGAACGAATCTGTGCCACAGAATAGATGGATATATCGGGTATAAATAAGTGCACTTTTTCTCCTTTGACTTTACCTCCATGGGAAAGTATTTGCTGTCAACGGTATGTTGAGAACCTCTTTTGCTAGTATTACTCCAATAGAAATAAATAGCATTCAGTCGATATGTACCATCCAACCATTCAGCAGTAGCTGTTATATTAGCCGATGCGGGAATGCGGATATTAACTGCAAGTATTTACCAAATATAAAAGTTTAAAAAATATATATACCAATATCTGTTGTTTTGGGACAACATAAACCAAAATTTTCTTCATTTAAAATTTCACATTCATGTGTTGATGGACAATTTTCATCACTACAATTAATAAGTTTCCCAGTGATATTACTTGTTAAGGGTATGCCATCACTACAATTATACATTTGTTTTTTATGACCTGTAAATTTCTGATATTAAATTCTTTTCTAAAATAGTCAATAATTTTGTACAAAGATGTCACATTTGTAAAGACAAATTAAAATTATTATTATTACTTTAAAAAATAATATATTCTGTACATTTTGTTTTAACTAAAATTATATTTTTAAATGTAAATAAATTTCAACTAAAATACTGTAACCATCAATAAAATATATAGAAAGAAAATCCTATCTTATTAGAACAAAATTCTTGTTACATTACTTGATAGCATATTAACACATATCAATGACTTAAGTAATGCTTTTATGCTTTATATAAATCATCTGTAAAACTATGATTTAAATTAAAAAATTAACATTATTAATGAAAATTTATTTAAGAAATAATTATATATATAATGTCAACATCATTTCGAATATGCTCTTTTATGCTTCACATTTGGCATATTCTAAATGCACAAGTTTCACTTTAACCCTAAATCTATTCAAAGTTTTAATCATATTTCAATAATCAAAGTAAACATCAAATAATTTATTCTGAATTTCTAAATAAAGAATGATTTTTTTACATATGAAAACATATTAGATCAAGAGTATAGTTCTCAATCACTCAATTTTAATTAAGATAACATTGATTTAACCTGAAATTTTGTAAAATCTTTTAAATATTATATTTTATATTTCAAATTATATACTTTGAGTATTATATTTTATTAAAGTAAAATTTGCAAACATTCTAATTGAACTGAAAACTTTATATGTAACTATTGAAAAACCTTAAGTACTCTTATATCAATATACAGTGTGTGATCAGTTAACAAACATAATCTGTTCCTAGGCCATGTTCACTATCTGAATTGTTCGTTAATAGACTGTTGATTTACCATAGATTTTGTCAGAATTTGATTAATTCATTCTGGAGACCCCAAAAAATAAATAAAAAATTATACACTTTTTACTATGTTTATTTACATGTAAAAACAAACTAAAAGCAATCTCTCCATTTTTTCACAGATGGCACATCTTTGTTTCTCAGATGCGATTTTCGTTATTCCTTTATCTTCTTGAGTCTTTTGATTATATCTTTCTTAGCTAAGATTATATCTACTGTAGACCTGTTGAAGTCATCTGCATACAACATCAGACATCTTCTGCCCATTCTCTACCTTGGCTATTATCTCTTGTTTAGTTTCTATAGTGANAGAAAAAAATTGAAAACAATTTACCATCATAACCGGTATTTTGTATGGTGAGATTCTGAAGTGGAACATTGAGATTGGAAATGGAAGGTGGAGTTAAACTGTTGTTGACAACAATGGCTTCTGTGTCAATGTTGATTGGAGACTGATTCGCACCACGACAACCTCTATACAAGCAAGGCCAAGTCATTGAATCTGTGTGAAAAGAAAAATCCACAATAGAGTTAATTAGAAAGAGGAAAGAGAGAGAGGGGAAAAAAAGAAAAAAAGAAATTCATTAGAAATCTTCTCTGTTTAATTACAAATTATATTTAAAGTTTAAAAACCCACCTTCTCCAGTTGTATAAGTCCAAACTTCTTCTTCGGCTTTGTGAAAAGTATTAAAAATATTAATTATAAAAAAATTATTTAATTAATTAATATAGGATATTAAAAAAATGCTTACTCATTGGTTCTTCGGTAGTCGTTGGTGCTTCAGTGGTTGTAGTTGTTGTGGTTGTTGTTGTTGTAGTTGTTGTTGGTTCTGAATATTAAAATATTTACAATAAAATAATTTTTTTTTAAATTGTATTTTTTAAGTAAAAAACTACTTTAAAATTTCATTTTAAATTATTTAAATATTTATGAAATGGTTTCATCATTTTAAAAAATTTTTAATTAATTAATTAATTTAATAAAAAATTTAAATTATTAATAATAATAATTTTTAAAGTTATTATCCTTACTTTCTGTAGTTGGTTGTCCACCTAAAAATAAAATTTATTTTTTTAAACATTTTTTTGATATTAACATCATTTTAAATTTAATTATACATGTTTATTATAACAATAATAAATATTACAAACTATATTTTATAATAATTTCCTCTTCATTTAAATTTATAACAGGATAATTTCTTAATATTTTTAATTAAGTAATTTTAATATAAAATTTTCCAAGTTGAAATGAGTTAAATGTGAATTTATCACGAAAACATTACAAGTTAATAGTCAAACAATTAAAAATGTTAATTAAAATAAACTGTAAGGAAAATATAATATTAAAAAGTACAATAAACACTAAAAATAAATATTTTTCTTGTTAATTTACTTCGTCTATTAAACGAACAATAGCTAAGAAATGTTTTTCTTAATTTTCTTAAGGGGGGAAAAATAAACTTTTTTTTATGTTAAATCTTTTTCGATAATTGTTTCCTCGATATAATATTTTTCTCTTTCAATGTACTCTATTGATTTATATTTTAGAAAATATTCTCTCCTTGTTATTATTTATGCTAACGTCCATTATGTGTAAGAAACAGGTAAACGAACCATTTACTTACTTGGATAAATCAATCTCCAACTGGAATCGCCTAAAGCATAAATAAATCGATATTTGTCACTTTTAAAATTGCAAATATATATATTATATTCTATATCTTTATAAACTATAAATTGCTAAATTATTTTAGAAATTATTAGTAAGATAAAGCAAAAGGTTCAAGTAAAAGATGATGATATTTCCAATCATTATATTGTACTGTATATCCAGTTTTAAACTTAACACCTCATACAACATAAAATTAGAGTCTGATTCGCAGATTAGGGCCTTTCATGTTATAAAGCTTTAAGGCCTTATGCTTTTAAATTCATTATTATTAGAAGGGCCTAACAAGACTAAATGTGATCTACATTAAATATTTGGCTTCTTTCGAGATTTCTGGTTTATTAAACTACTTTATGTTATTTTAATTAATTTATATAGTTTCTATATTAATATATTCCATGTTAATTTGATTAATTTATATAGTTAGTTTCTATATCAAGAAGGTAAGTTATATTTACCTTCATCGTCCTTATAAGCCCAACGAATTTTGCTTTCTAAAATAATAAAAATTAAAAAAAAAAATCTTTAAAAGGATCTTAAAATCTTATTTTTTTTATCTTTAAACTAACAAAAGATGGAAATTTATTTATATAATTTTCTCTATAAATCTTCTTTTTTTTTATCACATTTTATAACAGGATAGCTTATGTTTGCTTTATCAATCGATAGAAAGAATAAGTATTATGAAAATATTTATATATTTTTTGTAGGAAAATAAATATATGAATATAGATTTTAAATTCTTCTTACTAGACTTAAGATATTATAGGAATTGAGATATATTAAGACATTTATTACTGACCTGGGCTTGGTCGATAACTCCAACTTCTAACAGCATCTACCAAGAAGAAAACATATTGAGTTTATATGAAAATTTGTTGATAAAAATAATATATTTTTGTTTATTTCATTTTTATTGAGCTTAAATTATATTTCTTTCTACGTTTTTCTTATTTTATTAAATTTAGCTCTAAAAAAAAAAGTCCTATTCTACACTAAATAATAAATAAGTTTTACTCGATTTAGTTATTTAAAATTAATATTTTAAAATTATTTTAAGAAATAAAAATATTTAAAATATACTAATACATTTAATTATTTCTATTTTTGTTAGAAAAAGTTATTTAATAGTAGAAGAGTCTTACCATCATCGTAATTCCACGGTTTGTGTCTTCCTCCTGAAATAATGGATTAAAATGTTTATCAATTTTTAAAATGTTTAAAATATAATATAATTTTTAAGATCAAATTAAAATTAAAACTTAGTAATATTATAAAGTATAGAAATGTTCTTAAGAATCTCAAGATCTATACCTGAAGTAAGAGTTAAGATCCCACATAAGGCTAAGATTGCTGCACTACGAAACATATTTGAAGATAGTCGAACTAAAACTGATGATTTGGACAATATCCTAACTCCTTATATACTAATTGATGCGGTTCGAAATCTTAGAAGGGAGCCAATGATCGGTTATAGAATTTCGATTGGCTAATACGAGAGCGCCTACAGCCAAATGTAGTTTGGGCAATGACCTCTAGATGAAGACTCATTCATTAGTACGAACCAAAGGAAAAGTTGGGGAAGTCGATAACGAATTAAAAAGTTTTTTTTTTTTATCTATCACCCTCTATAGAAATAGCGGAGTCGTTTGTTATGAGGGTTATAGATCTTGAGATAAAGCATAACAGGTGACATAAGGGAGCGAAGAAAGCAGTATTTTTTTTTTTCTTAATCAGGATATTCGACATGCTCCAAACATAGTAAAAGCAACTATTATGAAATCCTATCATCGATAACATCTATATAATATTAGTCTAGACAAAGTTATGTATAGAAATAAGCAAAAATTCCTAACTTAGTCTCTATAGATACTATAATGATGCAATAGAGTAAAGATTATTTATAGCCACAAATAATACACATTATAAGTTAAAATTTAATTTAAAATAAATATAATAAATCTTTAATTAATTTTTAATACAATATCAAACTGTGTTATTGATAGATAAACAACTAAGATTAAAAATAGAAGGAAAAATATTTCCCTTTAAAACTGTATAGCACGATCGAATACATATCTTTTAATATATTAGATCAGGAAAGTAATAAATAAATATTTTCCTGATTGGATAAAATATATTATGTCTATCTTAGCATAAAATGCTAACTAGTTTCAAACGTTTATCTTCTTATCCTTTCTTTATATGCATTAATATTACCTTGTTATCAACAAACCATTGTTTTCACCATTATCTAAGTGATTTTGTCGGTTCTATTTAGTCTCAACATCATTCAAAAAGATAGTTAATGCTTACAACAACATTTTCAAACAGATTAGAATAAAATATAATGCTTAAGAATGCTTCTATTTATAGAATTTTTAAGTACGATATTGATAAATTTTCCTGTTTGTATTGCAGTCCCCATAGACACTTTCTTTAAACCATGTTTTTTAACTTCTAATTATTAAAATTAATTAAGTAAATGTAAACATTAATTTATAAAAAATTTTCTAATAAAAAATATAAATTATATTAACAAAAAATTCTTCTTAGTACATTAATATAACCAAATATAGAAGAGAAATTAGATTATTAGTGATAACTGATACATTTACTACGCTTATGTGTTATCAGATAACTATAATTAATGGTCTATTATTGTTTTAGTTTTTAAAATAACTTCTAATTAGTCCTACAATGTTCTTCTAAGATATATTTTCTGATTTTTTACTTATATATTTTATAAATAGGTAAGCTTACTTTGGGAAAAAATATTAAAAAGAAAAAAAAATAGAGAAAAAATTCCCATTTGTATAGAACATAAATCATTTTGAATATTGAATATTTAAAACATAATTATATCTAAATGAAAGCAAGTTTACTTTCATTTAGCTTCAATTATATTTTAAATATATACTGACAACTCCTAATCATAACTTTTGGCACTTAGATTGATGTAATTAATCAATTTTCTAGATTATGTTATGACTAATTAGATATAATCATTTACTATTTTTTTTTTTAGCTTTTATATCTTAATTTTTTTATATATATAGAAGAAATACAAATGTAGAAAAGTCAAAACGTCATTTTTACAAGTAAAAATCAGTATAAAATTAAATAAAAATAAATAAAATATGAGGTAAAATCAGCTACTTTATAAAAGGATATTACCAGTTATTATATCAGAAATTGGATTATTTAAATTAAATAAAATGTTTTAAATTATATAAATAATAAATTTATTATTTTAAAAACAAAATATACTCTTGTAACTTTCTAAAAAAATTATTTAAAATATATTAAAAGATCTTAACCATTAATGAAAAACTGGTTTTATAACGATTTTTAAGAGAAAATATACAACTTTCTCGATAGATAAAGAGAATATTTTTTGTACAAAATCTTAAATGGGTGTGCAGGAGGTCACGTGATAAGAGAAAGAAACAACATATGGGCATCCAAAAGTTTTGAACAGGATCCCACGAGATAAAACAAGACCAAGAAAGTGTCCCCACGGTAAGATGGAAAAGATGAAATTAGGAACTTTGCTGAAAACACAGAAAACAGATAAGATAGGTAAGAAAAAATGAAAGTAGCTTGAAAATACCTTCATCCTGTACTAAAACAAACATAGTTAAATATGCTGATGTTACCTAAATTATTTTTTTTAACAATTTATTCCTCCGCATCTCTCAATATCCGTATTTAGGGGAGACCGGGGCAACTTCGGCATGCGGGGCAAGTTTGTCAAGCGCTTTTTTTAAAAAACAAATTAAAAGAAGACTTTGGTTATAGATTAGGCAGTTGAGTTTTATTGGTGGCTTGTTGAGTGTAGTGTTTTTATTGTTCTCCAACAAGCGTAGTTGAATTATCAAGCAAATTTTCATTTTCGTT